ACACCTACGCCATGACGTTGTCCTCCTTGTTGATGCGCGCCGTGATGGCGGCCATGGGGATCCTAATAAAACTAAACTAAACTAAACTAAGCTAAACTAAGCTAAGCTAAACTAAGCTACGCTAAGCTAAACTAAACTAAGCTAAACTGAAACTAAACTGAAACTAAACTAAGCTAAACTAAGCTAAACTAAGCTAAACCAAACTAAACTAAACTGTCCAGGCCTCCAGGGACTGATACCCGGGTTCCTCCCCACTCAGAGGGTTAGGGTTAGGGTTAGGGTCAGGGTTAGGGTTAGGGTTCGGGTTAGGGTTAGGGTTAGGGTTAGGGTTAGGATCAGGACACCTACGCCATGACGTTGTCCTCCTTGTTGATGCGCGCCGTGATGGCGGCCATGACCTCGCGGGCGGGCGGCGGCAGCCCCGCGGCGCTCAGCGCGCTAACGGCCCTCTGGACCTGCAGCATGGACGAGTCCTCGCTCACCGCCGCCAGCAGCAGCTCCCGGGTCTCGTTGGACACCGGGATCTGAGGAGATATTAAACCGTTATACACACTATTAGGGGATCTATAAAGATATCAATCTATTATACACACTATTATATCCTCCTGAGACCCGGCCCATTCATTTATGTCCATTATATCCAGAGGAGAAACCCTGATCAAAATCCACGGTTCGGTTCACGGTTCCGTGGTCACGGTTTTGGGTTCGGTTCGGTATATGTTGATTGTTAGGAAAATCTATTATGTCTTATATAGTCAGGTTAAAACTGAAATAAAAAAGCAGTGTGACATGTGATCCATTACTGTGACAGTCTGAGGTTAAAGTAGGTGAGATTCTGCCAGAGAGGAAACAGAGCTAATTCCAACATGTGCTTCCCTCTAAATGCAAACTGGTCCATACAGCAGACCTAGAAACTGCTGCTGGGTCTGGTTTTTATGGGCTACGCTGCTTCTTCTTCTTCTGGTTTCCTACTGGTGGTTGGCTTTGGGCGCAGTAGCGCCCCCTTCTGCTCTGGAGTGTAAACGCTTCCCTCTGAGAAAAAGGAGCAGCAGGAACCGAACGCAACACACGCCAACCCAACCGAGACAGAACCCAACGGTTCAGACGGGTTTCAGAAACCATCCCATCCCTAATACACACTTTTATATACGGGTGGTTTGACACTGAGTTGCCTTATTTTAACTATACAGCAGAACCTCTGT